AACTGCATATTCTTAAAAATCATTTGTTCGCTAGAGTGTGTGTGTGGTATGTGTGTGCGCGTGTGTGTGTGTGACAGGCTGGCCACTTTCGGCGGTTTTATTTTGTTTTTGCCAAATTTATCTTTTGTGCTAAGAGCAAAAATAGAAAATAATGGACTCTCGAACTCAGAAAAATATAAACAATGCATTCGTAGAAGAGAATTTTTGAACAAGAAAAGCAGTGTTCTCTGTAGAAGCCAAAGCGCATCCAGATTTCGCTAGAGAAGGTCTTAATTTTAGGGATCCGCTTTATAACAACAAAGACTTCTCTTTTTTCTGAGTAGTGCCTTTTTTGCTTTTTTTTTGTATCCCATTTAGCTTAATTATTAGTTACGAAAAAAATTTGCCCTTTCCCTATCCATCTTTTGCGCTTTGGCCTACGTTTTTTAGGTTAATTTCAACGCCTTCTTAGCCGAATATGGCAGATTTTGCATCCGTTTGATCTAATTTTACTTTTTTTTGGTTCATTTTTATTTTTATTTTTTTGGCCAGGGGAGCTGGCATGCTGTTAAGTAGAAGTTGGTAAAAGTTAGGTAAAAATTGTTCGTTTTGCCCTTCCTCGCAGTGATAGGTCAGACAATGAAAGCTATTAAACAAGAAAAAACGCGGGGGAGTTAGGAAGGGAAGAGCAGTAATTTTTTAAATTTTTATGTGATGCTGATTGGTGTTGTTAGCTGAAGTTGATTTCCGGTAAATTTTCCGATTTTTAGGTACTTATTTACGTTTTCGATGTGGAGAGTCGTGAACTCGATAAAGACTATCGTTATTATCAGTCATGTTTGGAGGCACTGATGCAAAATTCACCAAATGCGAAAGTTTTTTGTTTGATACATAAAATGGATCTTGTTTCGGAAGAACACAGAGACAAGGTTAGTTATTTTATGAATTCAAAAAAAAAAGAAAGAAATTTCGGTAAAATATTACGAAAAATCACTAGAAATCAGCAATCTTTATAAAACTTGCTAAGATTACAAGAATTTTTTGTGGCTTTTTGAGGGAGCAAATTTTTCGAAAATCATCAAGAATTCAATCTCTGTGTAGTTGTTTTTGGTTTTCTTATTTCTTAAAAAAACATTGCTTGATTTTGGTAATACTCTGTTACGGAATGGAAGGTAATGGTATCATATTCAAGCAGTAATTTTTACGTTTTGCTTACTTTGTTTTTGGGAAATCTTAATGTGTTTCTTTCTTCCAAACCCGTCTAAAGCCGTTTATACTTCCCACTGTACAAAGCGTTGTCATCCACTCCGCTCCTCCCCTCCCCCCTCCCCCCCACCCCCTCCCCCTTCCTTTTCATCGCAAGCGTTTTGATCGATTTTGAGGTTCTGAGTATAGAATAGGTCATGAATTGATATGAGGTCATTAACTCACCGCTACAGTCAGCTGGATTAATTTCTCGGCGTATTCTTTATTGAGGGATTATAGTTTAGCCAGGCTTGATTTATAAGTGGAAAATGAAATGCGATCCATTTTCCAGGTGTTTGCGGAGAAGGAACGCGATATAATGCTTCGCTCAGAGGCTGCTGCTGTCAAATTGAAACGCGAAAATGCCGTCAAGAAATGTTACAGGTCATCAATTTGGGATGAAACGCTTTATAAGGTGTTGTTCCACTCTTTTTCCTTCGAATTTGCTGACCCGCTGAAGTGTTGAACATTATGCTTCATTTGTCAAAATAATGTTTAGTCGAAGTTTATCAGGCGTGGTCAGCGATTGTATGTCAGTTGGTGCCTAACGTTGCGTCGATGGAAGCCAAGCTTCAGCAGTTTGCTGTGATTTTGGACGCTGATGAGGTTCGCTGCGCCACGTAATTTATTTTATAATTATGAAGACGCAGCAGTATTTTTTGAGTGAACAAAAACCTACACGGGAACTAGGTGGGAACTGTCAAGGACCCGAACATTGTCGTGGGAAATCGCGAAAAGCCGGCCATGAAGCTGCCACAAAGAAAAAGAGGGTGTGTCTTGTCTTGAAAGGCAGATACACAGTGGATGTGCTGCCTGGCTGGACTTCAGGACGCAAGGACGGGTGGTATAGTGGTAACACGCTACATCCGGACGTGAAGGAGAATGGTTCGATTCCCTCCTGGTCCAAAGCAGTTTTTGAGAAAGGCTCCGTTCACGACAAACATAGGCAGTAGTTGGATGGGCATAACGCTTCTTCCATTGGATTTTGTATAGCGATCGAGAGGGAGGTTTGGGGCACAAGGATTCAATTTCATCTCATGCTTGTCCATCTGGTCATGAAGTTGTGTTTTGAAAGGAGCGCATTCACTTTTATTTGTTTTTTAGAATTGAATACTTGAAAGAATTTCATAGTGTCTTATTATATGTTCTTCCCTATTTTGCAGGTGATGTTGTTCGAGAAGGCAACTTTTCTTGTGATAGCACAGGCACAGACTGTTGAA